TGGTAACGGTTGACCTACCGCTGGCGATACCGTACACGCTGAGGAAGGACCAAGCTGCGTCGGGTCTGCCTTTGGTACAGCCGTTAGAACTGACATCAACTTCAGGTTCGGAAATCAAACTTTAGGTGGCTGAGGAAGCCTCGACGGGTCTCACTTGCAAGAGAGCTTTGAGTTACAGCACGCGAGCATCTCGCCAGCAGAGAGTAGTTGGTTGAACTTCCCCCCCGATTTGATGCAAAGACGGGCATTAAATGCCTCAACTGGCGCAATCGCCCAGCAGCTCCCACAAGCCGACTGATCCCTGCAAAGAAGGAGGATGTTAACATCGCCACGGCAACTCTCTAGCGCTAACGAATGTCAGCTACCAGACATGACCGATGACGCCCTTGCACTCCTTGAAGGCATCGCGGGCATCAAAGCTACTCGGAATGGCAGCAAGCTCCCCTGGTGGATAGACCTTCTCCTCGAGCCCTTCAGCCTCCTCAAGGAGTGTTCCGCAAAGCTTCTTAGCATCACCGAGAGAATGACCTTGAAGTTGGTCGTCAACCGATTCATTCATACACCTCTCGATGAGGCCCTGACCAGCCTACCGTAGAATCTCTCTTGGTCAGTGGACGCCGTCCATAGATTCTGTTTGGAGTTGATCTCGTCCACGAGACTTTGCACGATGGCTGGCCTTGTGTCCTCATACAGCTCTGCCAGCTCATTGGAAGACAACGGCACGTCCTTGGCTTGTAGCTCTCTCTCGAATCGACTGAAATGCTGAAGCTCCTCTTCGGGAGTATACACCAAGTCTGAAGTTCAATTGGTAGAGCGGAGTCCAGTTGAGTTTGACCTCACTCTTCTGAGTCTTTATATTGTCAAAGATAATCCTTGAAACTCCATCAGGAAGAGCTGATGCTACAGGGAGCAGCCACGTGATGATGGCGCAAAGCATTGGAGAATTCACGATAGATAACAGTGCCTGTGCATGGAATCATAGTCGGGGACAACACGAGTCGGGGGAGTTGTAAAGATCTCTGTCT